TCATCACTGTTTTTAAAAAAAAGAAGAAGAAAAGAAAAGAAAAAAGACTTGGGTAAACAGGAACAGGTGTGATGTGAGCTTCACAGTATCTTCCTTTCTGTCACTGCAGGTGGAGTCCACAGTCACTGGAAACTATATGTATTCTCAACTCACACACTGAGCAAAATTCCAGTGCTGAGATGGTTAGACTTTACTGCTCATTTCTGTTTGAAAGAAGAGCCTTGGTAGTATGATGAAAGAACCTGATCTTCCCAGGAAGAATTATGGCCATCTACCACTGTGGCCAGAAGCAGCTGTCATTTTGGTGTTGTGTTTTTGTGCCTAAAGTTTGGTAAATGTCTCTCATTGAGTCCATATGAAGTGATTGTAAATGTGTTCGTGAGGATGTGCATATTTTCTCAGAAAATATGTATTCAAATGTACAGCACAAGTGTCAAGTTTTAAGAAAAAAATCCAAGACCGCTGCATATTTTATATAAATCAATTCATTTAACACTGACCATGACCCAACCTAAAGGGTACGTGAATATTCCCACACCTTAGATGGAGATGCTGCAGAGATGAATGACCTAGGCTCTAGATCCATAAGTGGAAAAGGCAAACGCAAATACAGGCCTAGGTCCCAGCGCAAATGCTCCAAGCTACAGAACTGTATTCACTGCTCAGCCATAAATGAGCCAGCTTATGTTGGAGTGACCTCTAGAAACATCCTTTCTTTGAGTAAGTAATTTTCCTGGATAATCAATTGACAGCATTATCAGTGTACTGACAGTCATTCTGCGTCTTTTTAGTTTTTCCTAAGTCCAGAAGGACACATCAAATGCCCTGGTGAGTTTTCATATGATTCTCTGAAAGGAAAAACGTTGCTTTCTTGGTTTCTTTTTTTCCCAATTAACCAGAAAAGAAAATATGAACATGTATATAATATACAATTATTTAGTGGGTGGTAATTCAAGGGAGGATCTGTTACCAGCTGAGAATTGATTCAGGGTAACAAAAAACATAACAGTATCTTTGCAAAGTGGAGGTACCAACTTTCTTCCTCAGTAGAACTTTTTTCCTCTATAAATACATGTTGTAAATGTCAACGAAAACAGGCATGAGATGTAGGGAGCTGAGAGTCTTCAGAGACTTCTTATGTTCAGCTCCTGACCTCTAGTATAGTAACTCAGGTGACAAGGGGAGCAGCACAGAGAGCTCAGTGTTCCAGATAACTAACTGCAGCAGAGCTAGCTAGCCTTGAGAATGTCCTACTTTCCATGTTCTCAACATAATACAAAAAGCTTGTTCTTCTTGAAACTGCCCCTGAACACTCCCCCTTGAAACTGTATAAAATAAACAAGCTGAGCAGGCACTGGGTTGCAGTTTCCCCATCAGAGGACTATGTCCCACCTGGCCCCAGCTTTCTCTTTATGTGTGTGTCTGTGTTTTTTCTCTAACTCCCATTGCCACCTCTCAGGTCCAGGTTCACCCGTGTTGGTTGAGGAAATGAGACATACATCTCCAAGAAGAGCTTGTGCTTTTTGACTTGAGTAGGTTTGCTTTCATTTGCTTTTGGAATCCCTTGTCTTGTTCACTGTTTGACACTAAATTTCTAAAGTTGCACAGTGCACAAAAGACGTGTGCACACAGGACACTGCATGGTCTGATTTTCACAGTTGCTCCTTGTCCATAATTGCAGGTGGAAAAAACCAAGACCAGATATGGTACCTGCTCTGGAGTCATGAATTTACTGATAAGTAGTGATTATATGATGAGAAAGACAGACAGAGGAGCCACCCTGATTTTGGCCTTCTCCTGTGAATGGGAGCTGGGGTGTGGTGGTAAAAGTTGGTTTTCTACAAAAATTAATATGGACTTTCTCTATATTCTCTCAATGCAATTGTGTTGCACTAGTTCATGTGAGGTTGTGTGCATGCGGGTCCTGAATGTCTATATGAATTCCTTGGTCTGATTCTGAGTATGACTATGTTGGTAGTTTTGTGTTTCACTAGATATATATTCCAGAAATTGCTATTTTTAGTATCCTAACTTTAAAGTGCCATTGCTATTGTGGACTGATTTTACTTATAATTAATCAAATATAAACATCTTATATGGAGAGTTCATTGCATGTCTAAACAAATCAATTAAGACAGAAAAATATTCCATAAAAATTCAGCACAGCTCTGGAGTTACAAAGGCCTGGTATATCATAGCAGTTTCTGGACCAGTGGCACCTTCATTTAGTCATGAATGTAACCTGCTATTAGGCCCCTGTGTTATGGCATTTGATTTGTCATGGCCTTGCCTTGGTCACAGGGCCTTTCTGTAAAATGCCTTGGGAGTCATCTTCCAAAATGCAGCTTAGCCACCTTACCAGGAATGCTTATTTTGAAGTAACACCTGGGACAGCTACATGCCACCGGCGTTATGGCAAAATTCTAGGAGGGAAGGTGCCTGCAGGCAAACATGGAGAAATCACTCTAGTTCTCTCGTGAAGGTCTGACACTGACCTTCAGAGTAGGAAGCGCTAAAAGTAGAAAGTGCCGTGCACTCAAGGAAAATGTGTCACATTATTTAATTTTCTCCTGGTTTCTATGTGCAGAGGGAAGAATCCTACACAATGAAAAGAGGAAGAAGAGGGGTTTTTTTGAAGGAGTGAGTATTCCTTCCTGGGAGGCTCAAGGGCAGGTCATTCTTGGCAAGTTGTGGGGAAAGCAAGATAGCTATGGGCAGACTTCACAATGACCTTGAAGAACCTATCAGTTTCCTATGAAAACTGTTCAGTCTTGAGGGCTTTTGAAAGGAAACAAGTAGAAGGCAGTTCATTAAATCAAAATCAAGATGAATTTTCCAAGTTGTGGTTTGCATGTTCTGTTCATGGTAAACTGATGTTCCTGAGTAATCCATGGGCAAAAAGATCAGTGTACAGAATCATTCTGGGGTGTTTTTTGTTTCATTTTTGTTTTTTGTTTTTTAGTCCCTTGGGATCCTGTGGTGGCCTTCTCACCTCCAGAAGTTCTGATGAGAAGGACACATCAGATGCCCAGGTAAGTTCTTGTGTCACTTTCTGAAACAGAAATGAAGCTTTCTTGATTTCTTTTACTATTCAACTAAGATAAGAAAACCTGAACATGGGTATATAGATGACAATACAGTAAGTAGCTTAGTAGGTGGCATTTCAAGGGAGGCTCTAATACCAGCTGAGAACTAATTTAAGGGGCCATAAGCCATGACAGTATCTTTGCAAACCAAGGGGTACCAAGCTTTTTCCCCAGCATGTTTATTTCCCTTCAGAAAGACATGGTATAAATGTCGACAAAAACAGACAAGGAACATACATCCCCATGAAGAGCTTGTGGTTTGGGGCATGAGTAGGATTGCTCTGCTTTTGCATATGGAATCACTTGTCTTTTTCCCTGTTATATTGAATTTCTAATATCACCAAGTAAACAGATGACCCGTCCGCATGGGAACCTTAGTGTTCTGATTCTCACAGTGACTCCTTGTCTGTAATTACAGGTGTACATTAGCAGGTGTGGAGATGATGGAGTACAGTAGAGAGCACTGGGATGAGTCATGATGTCATGTTGAGAAAGACAGCCTGTCTTGGTTTTTCTCCTGTGCAGAGCCACCCTCATTGCTATCAGTGGGGGTTGTGGTAGACAGTGAATTCCCACAAAAGAAACTGTAGTCATTCCTTGTAGTCCTGGATGCAGCTGTGCTCCATTCATGTGGGTTAAGTTTGGTGTGTGTGGGTGTGTTCACTTTCCATGTGTGAATACATGGGTGTGTTCACTTTCCATGCATGAATTCATAGGTGTGATTCTGAGTGTGCATGTCTATGACTTCTGTGTGTGTGTGTTTGTGTGTGTTTCAGGAGGTATACATCCTTCAAGTTGTCCATTTCAACATTCTGAGTTTAAAGTGTCATCACAAATGTTTCCTGATTGTATGTGTATCTATTTGTAAAATTTTTATGTTTATCATTTATTGCATGTGTAGGATATGTCAAGGAAATATCCCATGAGTCAGAAGACCATATTCACGGGGCCCTAGAATGACAAAGCTGTGTTTCATCCTTCCTAATTGTGGATCACCAGGAATTTCATTTAATCATGAAACTGATCCATTATTATGCCTCTGTATGTCCCATAACATTTGATTGGTCATGGCATTTTCTTATTCACTGTACTTCTATGTGAAAGGCCTCAGAATCTGCATTCCACAGTACATCTTAGGGAATCTCTCATGTTGCAGTTGGCCCATGGAAAAGCCACAGACCAGCCCAGTTCAGGGAACACTGTGAGGTTGCTGGAGCCTGCAAGCGGACTGGGAGAAGCACTCCAGCTTTCTCCACAGAGAAAGCTGTTATTGACCTTTCAAGAGTGTTGCTAGTAGTAGGAAATGTCCTGCTCCCATAGAAACCCCTCCTTCCTTCACTAAGCCTGCTCCTGGTTACTGAGTGCTGAGCAAGGAAGCCAGTAAAACAAACAGAGAAACATGGGGTCTGCTTGCATGACTAAACATCAGCAGTCCAGTACTTCACTCCTAGGTATCCTGAGGTTAGATCATTTATTGCAAGGTGTAGAGAGATCAAAGGAACTGAAAGTGAGGCCATTCTTTACCCTGTTGCTGATGAACCCATCCGCTGAACTGGGTTCCTGGTTGGTTCTGAATTCTGATTGGAAACAATGTAGTGTATTTTAATTAAAAAAAGGAACATAAATGATCCAATTTGTGGTTTGTGTATTCTCAAGGAATATCCATTCTGTGAAAATATAGTTTACTTTCATTACATTTGAGTGTTGGGTGAGTATGATGAGTATTGTTCCCCAATGATTAAAGGTGAGGCCTCTGGATTGAAAGATGTCTTTGGTGAATGTCAGAAACAATGAAGTTGACACAACTTTGTTGTGTAATTCTGTGTTCTCTACACAACATTTTCCAAAAAGTCTTGAAGAAGACCTCATGCTCTCTTTTAGATATAAATGTATTGTTTCCACCCTTAAAGGCCCAGGACTTCATGGCCAGCTGACCAGTGGGTTCTACAACTGAGTACAGGATTGAGGATTCGACCAAAACTTAAGGAGTCAGGAGAGCATCAGCAGGAAGATATGAAGGAAATTCAGGCCATGGGGTTTGCAATGGATCTCAAACTTTTATGTCAGCATCATCAGTGTCATCCTCTGAGGGAGCCGAGCAAAGTTTTGGCCCTTTCTGAATGCCAGCAAGCAGGATGTGGTCCTCATGCAATTCCTGGGCACTAGTTGGCTTTCTTCCTAGAAGCCTGGATGGTCAGCCTTCCGTCCTGTTCATATGTCCTTGCTTGACACACTCAGGACTCTGTAAATGGCAGTAACAGCAACCAAAATGGATGAGAGGGTAAGAAAGAAGGCCAGCTCCCCACTTCTCTCACTCTCCTGGCAATATATGAATCAGCAGAAATAGGTATCAGATTCTTTGGCCTCTACCAGGCTGGAATAGGCATGAGTTTATACTTTACTTTATACTTGCTCTTAGAGTCATGTGATGGCTGTTGTTCACGTGGACACTGCCAGTTGAATGCTGTCTGCTGGAATCACTACAGTGAAACTGAGGGGAGGCTCACAGCACAGATTTGTTATAGGGAAGCTGAAGGTCGGGGCAATGATTCCAGTACAGGTCAGGCTCAGCACAGCAGAAGGGGCCGATACCTCTACCCAGTAGGCCTTGCTGCTGTGTATGGCCCCTGTAACATCATCTTTAGCGTTTCCTTAAAATGTCTTAAAATTATCAGCATCAAACTGTTTCCTGTGTCTTTTTCTTGCCATGCATATGTGGAAAATGTGTCCCATCACTTGGCCTTTCCCTGTTGAGTACGTACTGGAGAAAGAATCCTGCACAATGAAAACAGGAAGAAGAGGTTTGCTGGAGGGAGTGCACATGGAAAGGCCCAGGACTTCCTTCCAAGGAGGCTCAAGTAGGTCATTCATTGCAAGTGGGGAGATCAATGTAGCTGTGGGTCTGGACAGTCATCATGAGGTCCTCGATCAACTTATCAGATGAAATGGGTTCTTGATCTTTCTTGGGGGCTTTTGAAAGGAAACAAGTGAACAGGGAAAGTTCATTAAATCAAAATCAACATAAATTTTCCAAGTTGTGCTTTGTGTATCCTGTAGAAGTATCCTTTTCTTGATAAAATGATGTTCGTAGATAAACCGTGGGCAAAAGGGCCAGTGTGCTTACAGTCTCTGTGTTTCTTTTTAATCAATAAGTATGAGGACTACTATGCAGATGTTTTAGACATGGAGGACACATCCAATGCCCAGGTAAATTCTCTTGTCATTCTCTGAAATAGAAAATAAGCTTGCTTTGTTTCTTTCTTTGTCTTCAACTGAGTTAAGAAAATCTAAACACGTATCTTATAGATGGCATACAGAAGTAGCATGGTGAAATTTCAAGGGAGGTTCTGTCTCCAACTGAGAACTGATTTAAGGCAGCTAACACATGACAGCATCCTTGACAACTGGAGGGCCCCAATCTTTTTTCTCAGCAGATATCTTTTTTCCTTTAGAAATGCATGTTGTAAATGTCATCAAAACCATACTAGAGACATACTTCCCCATGAAGAGCTTGTGGTCTTTGGCATAAGTAGGTTTGTTCTGCTTTTGCCTGTGAGATTCCTTGTCTTGTCCACCGTTTGTCACTGAATTTCTAATGTTACCAAGTGCACAAATGACCCATGCACATGGGAATCTGTGTGGTATGAGTCTCATAGTGACTCCATGTCTATACTTACAGGTGGACATCAGCAGGAGTGGCAATGGTGTGTACCATCAACTCATGTATTTCATGAGTCCTGATGATACGGTAAGATAGTCTGTCTTGGTTTTCTCCATGCAGAAAGAACCACACTGACTCCAGCTCAGTAGCCAATTTGCCTAGAGTCCAGGAACCTAGGAGTCCAGGAGCCCCTTGGTCCTTTAAAGGTATGTTGTTTACTTTTAATGTATTTTTAATTTTCCACTTTTTCTTCTTTGTAACTTCTAGTTTTACTCCATGTGGTTAGAGAAGAAATTTTGTATGACTTTGAGTTTCCACAATTTCCTGAGCCCTTTATAGCACCTAACACACAGATCTATCTTAAAGACTGTTTCATGTGTAATTGAGAAAAACCCATATTTTCCTGCATTGAATAGAATGTGCTTTAGACGTCTCCAAGGTTAGTTGGTTTAGAGGTTTGTTTTTGTTTTTTTTAAGTTCTCTGTTTTCTTATTGCTCTTCTTTCTGGTGCTAATTATGCACTGTGTGAATGTGCAGTATTGATTTCTCCCACTATAATTGTTCAGTGGTGTGTTCTTCAATTTTGGAAGGTTTCCCTTCATATGCTGTGAAGCTCTGTGGTGGGCTGCAGATTTGCTTGTGAATGTTATGTTGATGAGTTGACCACCACTCCCCTCCTGACTTTTTCTATGATACTTGGGATTGAACTCAGGGCCTTTGGGCTGCTACATAAATGCTCCACGCTGGGCAACATGGCTAGCCCTTTTCACTTAATCATTATAACACAGCATCCTCCTGCCCTGGCCTCCTTAGTGACTAGGATTACAGGTGTGTACAACCATGCCTGCCAAAGGAGCCTTTTTAAATATGACATTGTCTTTTACCTATACTTGTAACAGTTTTTGGCTTTAGATTAGTATAATCTCATTCTCTCTCTCTCTCTCCCTCACTCTCATTAATAGTTGTGCAGAATATCTTTTCTAGCCTTTCACTTTCAACCTATTTGTGTATCTGGCTCTAAAGTTCATGCCTTGGTGACAGTATAGAGTTGGATCATGTCTTGTTCCTGTTCTCCTTATGTCGGCCCTTGAGTTGGAAATTTTATTCCATTCATATTTTTTTATTTATTCCACTCATATTGAAAGTGTTTATTCTGATCCATCTTTGTCTCACATGTCTTATGTCTTGACTGTTTCTTCCTCATTTCTTCCATTATTGCTTTACATCATGTTTTTTGGTTGTTGGGTTTTTTTCTGGTAGTATATCAGTTTGGTTCCCTTCTCAATTCATTTTATGCATATTTTTAAAATTTTTATTGGTTGCCATATTAGTTTTCTCCTAATATAGCAAATATGGAAGATAACCATCTAATTAAGAGAAAAAATATGTTGCTTCACAGTTCTCAAGGTTCTAATCCAGGATTCATTATTGTCCCCATTGCTCTGGGCCTTTGGCAAAGCAGCACGTCATGGTGGGCACACTGGGCAAAGAAAACCGCTCACTTCGTGTAAAGAAGTCACAGTGGAAGAGAAGGGGAAGTGGTGATGCACTCCCCTTCCTGGATTTGCCCCCTCTTAACTAAGTGCCTCTCAGCACTAGGGCCTAAGAGCTAAGCGCTAAGTGCCTAAGGCCCCACCTCTTAAAGCTGCCACCACTTCCCAGTCCCACAACCCTGGAGTTGCCTTCAATACGAGGGCCTTTGTAGGACATTTGACATGCAAATGTAACAGCTAACTGGGAGCCAATTAAATCTGAACTAAATAACAATTTTGTTTAAATTAATACGAAGTATTGTGTGTTGGACTAATTCATGATCAGCTTAAGTGGGAACTCCCAGCTGAACTGAGTCAGCATGGTTCTGAGCATGGAAGATCCTCCTGAGGATTGCTGCCAAAATGGCATAAAAAGAGAACAGGAGGGGAAGATTGCATGCTGCTGATTTTCTTTGGAAGGGCCTTACTCCAGAATTCTGGAGGCCTCCACTGTGGTTCACCTTATGTGGGCTGCCAGAGACTCCAAACAGCATCTCACCTCCCGCCTGCCTCCTACCCTCGGAAGAGCAGATGCTGCTGAGGCTCCCATCTTCACCTTCACCTGGGTGTCATCTCCTGGCTCTCGAGCAGTTTCTTCAGGCTTCAGCACCAGCCCCTGGGCTTCTGGCGCTGACCTTCAATCTTCCATCACAGACTCCTCAGCCTTCTGAGGTGGACTCATAGGGAACACTGCCATGGAATCCAGGCCCTCAGCTGGATTCTTTGGATTTCCAGCATGCAGACCGATCTCTCGCACTCTTCTGCATTTGACTTTGGGGTGAATATTATAAAATAATTTTATAAATTATGTGTCCTCTATTAAATCTATTTCCTTAAACCACTGACTACAATACAACATAAAGTCTGATTATTGGCATGGAGAATTTGGTTTTAAGTGTTTTGTTTTGGTTGCAAGTTGGGGAAAACACGAAAACAAAAATGCTACGGCCTGCTTCTGTGACGAACCTCTGCAACAAATGAGCAAAGAATGATACATATCCATAAAAAATGTAAAGAACAGCCTTGTAATGGAAGCATCAGTAACTATAACATACAAAAATGTCACACAGTGACATTGTTATCAGACACTGGAGGGTCCCGTGGTTCCAGGTTCTTGTCCTATTCAAAGAATTGGATGGAATCAGCCAATGATGCAAAAGTTTCATTTATTGAACATAAAGGAAGGAAACAGTAGAAGTGAAAAAGAAGAGAGAAATGAAGAACAGTGGGCCATCAAGTTATGACTGGCCTGACATACAAACAACTTGGGTTATAGTCAGAACTTTAGTTTTAAGTTATGACCTAAGTCTTGAGTCATGACCCAAATGCCGGGCACTTGTTCTGCCTGATGGTCTCAGATACAGATTTAACCCTTAAAGGGTTCTGGAAGGAACATTACAACATCCTTTCCTGTATGGGTTTAATTGAGAAATCCTGCGCCAATGTCTCTCTAAGGATACTGAGATCTGCCTGTATACAGGAGAGAGATTTGAAGGCTGTGTAGAGGAGCCTACACCTTCAATTGACCAACTTGAGTCACAACCAACCCTTGGGAACAAATTGAGTTTGTAAGTCAATGGTCCACTGTAGGAGTGAAAAGAAGAGAAAATGTGCTCTACACACAGAGCAAGTCGCTGGAAGAGTAAGAAGACCATAGCAATAAGGCCAATGGCCACCGTCTTTTATATCTTTTGATGTCAGATCCAGGAGGTCAGAAGCTGTTCTGGCTCCATGATTTGACAGCTTTCCATGATTGACAGCTCGTGTCTATTGTCCAGCCTCTTTGCCATGCCCTAATCTCCTGCTTCAACATGGCAGGAGCAACGGCTGTAACTCAGCCCCAAGTGCTGTGTACTTCAGGGGACCAGCAGCCCAGCAGTCCAGGAAATCAGCCCAGTGCCCACTATAACTGTTCAAGAGAGTTGAGGGGGCAGGAATGAGGGGGAAAGCTTGCCTGAGGAACTGCTCACTAGAGCAGCTGGGAAATGTGGGATACTTACTTTGCAGAAGCCAGGCGGAGTGTACTTCTTGGAGTTGGTAAGGGTCCATAGTGGAATTGGCAATGCTTCTTTGTTGCTGGGACACAGCTTTGGAGAGCAAGAGCCCATTACACAAAGGGCAAAAAGCAAGGTGGGTGTCTGCAACATTTTGCAATCACAGCACGGAGGAAGGGATGCTCGGAAAGAGAGGTGGAAGACCCCAAAATGCTGGAGGGCGAGCCTGAGAGACAGCCTGCTAAAAGGCTGCCAGTTTGCCCCCTGGATCCCGTAACATTACCTGTCCTCCTCCTCGGGGTTGAGGGGGATAGGTCTGAAGGGAACTGAGCTATTGCAGTTTCAGCAGTCCAGGTGACAGTGCTGGGTTCTGTGTCCAGGAGCTGTCAGTCATGGTCCCTGACCATGAGAGCAGGGACTGAGGGGAAGCAGGTTTGCTGCCTGAGCAGCTCCTGCCTGACTTGAAAGCTTTTGGATCAGGGCTTGTGTATCTTCCTGCCTTTGCCTTGGGGACCCAGGGTCTGCTGGGTGGCAGCTGAGGTGTCAGACCTGGGCAGGCTGGGAAAGACACCCTTACCCTATGACCTACAATCCTATTCCTGGGCACCTCCCCAAGAAAAATCAAGTTTGTGTTCTCACAGAAACCTGTAATGTGAATGCTTTACCTACTTTGTTCACAGATTCTGGATACTGAGGTCATCCCATTTTTCTTGAGCAAGTTTGTCATTGTTTTTTAGTTTTTCTGGGAATAATACAAGGTGTGTGTGCTCCTGGAATATGAAAGAAGCCTGACCCTAACTGAGGCTGGAGGGGGAGATGAAGAGTCACCATCCTGTTCCCAGCAAGTTCCTAACTGGCTCCACCTGAGGCTTCATGGCAAGAAGGCTCATTTGTCAGGGAGCCGGCAGATGGCAGAGACTCAGCTGTGATTCAAAGCCAGGAGCCAGAGCAAGGGAGAGATTTCCACTCTCACTTCTGTCTAGGAACTCACAGCTCGGAAGTCACCCTGAGGGGAGGACAGCTCCCCTTTGCCTGTCCAGCACCTCCTCCTGGTCTCCCTGTCCCCCAACCACCGTATCTTTGCCTGCTCAGGCTGCTATAATAAAATGTCATATGTTGGGAGATTAAATAACAAACTTTTCTTTCTTACAGTTCTGGAGCCTGGGAAGTCCAAGATCAGGGGACCAGCAACAGAGCTCCCAGGCTCAGCAGACGGCACTGAGGACTGGACGGCAGAGAAAGCCTCCCAGGGACAGGGTTGGGGTGGTCACTGAACTACAAGGGGGTCCGATGGGCCAGAAAGCCATGGGCCAAGCCATGGGCCAGGTGGCAGCCCATGAACAGAGGCTGAGCAGCACCAGGCACATCTGAGCATTAAAAAGGGTCTCACTGAGGGTGGAGAGCAATCCGGGAGCTGGTCAAAAGCTCAGACCCCTAATGGATGCTAGGGCAGAGGAGCCAACCAGAGAGGGAGCCCAACACTGGGCTCCCCCACAGCCTGGCCCTAGGAAACTGCCCACCCTGAGGTGTCTGCATCTCCTCCACCTGTCCTTAAATCTGGGGCCAAAGACTCAGCTCCCCAGGGAGTCTTCCTGGCACAAGGAATGTGTGCTGGGAGGGAGCAAAGAAAAGGAATGGGAAGGAAAAGGAGGGAGGAGGGAGGTGGAGACAGTGTCAGCTTCTCCAATCTCCCCTTC